GAGAGCACTGGAGCAGTGAGTGTCCACCCTCCGGACAATAAAAGAAAATGAATAATTTCTAGACAGAGCGGAGGAGCTGCAACATGTAAGTGTAATCCAGAAGGAAGAAGAGCAACAGCAAATGGAGGCGGCAGAAGAGCACCCTGAGAGAAGGGAAAATGAGAAAACTCGTTGGAACAGGGCGACAGTTCAACGCAGAAGACCTAGAAAAAACTCTGCACCTGTGGAAGCAGTGCAACTCTCGAACAGCTTCGAATTGCTTTTGAGAAACTGTGTGTGACTGTGAAAGAAATACACATCACACACTGAATAAGTCTTTTTCAGAGACAAAAGACCAATCAAGCAGGGAAAAGGATAGCAAAGTTTGCAACAAAAGGGGAAGAGTGCTAGTTATGGGAGATTCCCTCTTGCGTGGAATGGAAAGATATGTATGTCCTGATGACCCGGGGAATCGCCAAGTATGCTGTCTCCCTGGCACCAAGGTTAAAGATATAACCAGCAAGTTCACACAACTCATATGACCCACTTCAATACCTCTTCCTTCTCTTCCACATGGGAACTAACAACACTTCTATGAGAAGTTTCACTGAAATAACAGCCTTCAATGCTCTAGGGAGGAAAATCAAAAACACTGGGGCTCAGATAGTCTGCTCAATCCTACCAGTATGTAGAAGAGGAATAGATAGGGAAAGAAAAATCCTTCAAGTGAATGGCTGACTATGATGGTGGTGCTGTAAAGACAGATTTGGATTCTGGGACCACAAGCTAAGCTTCCTGGAAGATGGAGTATTGGCAAATGATGGGCTGCACCAAAAGGGCAGATGCTATTTTGGAATGTATTAATAGAAGTATTACTTCCAAATCATGAGAAGTAGTAGTTCCTCTATACTCCTCACTAGTCAGACCTCATCTGGAATACTGTGTCCAGTTCTGGGCACCATAAGGGTAAAAAATGATCCAGGGTTTGGAAACACTGCCCTATGAGAAGAGACTGAGGGAACTGGGCATGTTCAGCCTTGAGAAGCGAAGACTGAGTGGGGATATCCCTCTATAAGTACCTCAAAGTCTGCCAAAAGAGGAAGGTCAAGATCTCTTCTTACTAATGCCAGAGTGTAGGACATGGAATAATCAATTCAAGTCGCTGCAACCCAGATTCAGGCTGGAAATCAGGAAAAGCTTCCTGACGGTCAGAGCAATACGACAGTGGAACCAGCTGCCTAGAGAGGTGATGGGCTATCTCACACTAGAGACATTCAAAAAGAAACTGGACAACCATCTGAGTGGGATGGTTTCCTGGAACAGCAGGGGAGTGGACTTGATGGCATTCATGGCCCCTTTCAATTCTTCTATGATTCTATATCTCTTGTGATATAAAGTCAAACCTGCAGTGTCCCTGCCCCTCTGTCTCTCAGAAAGAACCAGAATTCCAAGCCAGGCTTTTTTGAGTTGTTCCTTTAAGAGACTGGAACCCTCAACTCGTCTGAAAGCATCTGCTACATTAAATTGCAAAAGCTTTTGATTAAGGGGGGCTCCCAAGGAAAGTTGACCCCTGTCTATTCTTGTGCTAACAGCAACAAGACTTACAAGGCGACCAGTAAGGTTTTTCTAGCAATATTGCAATCACCATAATTTACATGCTCAAACCCACAGCCAGGACTGACAATCCCTCCCTTCCTGATTGACATAATAATCTCCTGTAAGCAACACTATTGTATTAGGTCCCCTCTGCAGATCGCTCACATTCTTTTGACTGAGTTCCCATTATTTCATCATTATCTGTCCTGCTGCTGTTTATGTGACTAAGAACCCATGAAATACTCAGATGTTCTAAAAGATTGTAGTTGGGTGTGAGGACCACTTACCAGTAGCATGCTGTCACAAGTAACTGCAGGGGGCTGGATTATTTCACCAGTAAACTATTTTGAGGTCCAAGGTGATTCAATCTTCCCTACAAGTCCAAAGTGTTCATTCCTGCCATTGGTTTTGAGGCTCTGACACCAGCATGAGAGTAAGGGTGTCAACATGTTTTGGTCCAGAATGCAGCATTTCAAGTGTTCATGGGAACATGTTTGCATTATGCTGATTTTAGAACAGTTTCAATGAATACCAATAATTTTCCAGATACAATACAGCTGTTGTAAATGGCCTTTTCTGGGACATGTCAAAGAATCATTCCCTGCCCGCATCCAAAAATATTTGTAGTGGCCCTTCTCTGTACCCCAGTGTGAGTTGATGTTAGGTTGGTTGCGATGAATAAGAGGCTATACCCCAATTGTGGAATTCTATCTTACAAGAAATTCATTTCCTGCATCCCCAATATTTAGCTCTCACACCTAGCAAAGGTTCTCTTTGGACAGGTTTTTATTAGACTTGGTTTTTATCCTGCCAACCTTGATTGATTGATTGCTGTTCTCTCCTTTTGCTATTTTAAATTGTTCTAATTCTGACCCATTTATTATTTCTTTGTATTTTCCAGTAATGTTAGCTGCCCTGAGCAATATTTTGCTGAGGAACTGTGATAAGAACCTTTCCCTTTGGTGGGGAGGGGCTATGAAAGAAGCTGGTGTATTGGGTGGGGATTTCTCAAGAGAAATTATTACTTGGAGGGACTGAACTGATTTTTCAAAAAAACAAAACAAAAACAACTCTTCTGTAAAATGAAGAGGTCATTTGCTATCACAGTCCACAGCTGGACATGCACATGGTAGGCATGTCATGAGCATAGCCGGCTGGAACCAGGGGTCAGACTTAGATGGCCCGGGAGACCCCTTCTGACTCGATCTGTTTCTATGTTTCCTTTGGGGTTTAACTGAAGGTATATGAAGAAAAGCAAAGGTGCCCTTGATTTAAATAAATAAATATTCCTAGGCTTCATTATGAAAGTTACTATTTGTTTAATCATGAAGTAGCAATCATTTTCTCCACTTTCAATGCAATAGTAATCCAGATGATGATGAGAAGCCTTGGTGCTATTTTGTCAAAGACGACCTAGTATCTTGGGAATATTGCAATATTACATTATGTGGTGAGTAAGTTTTTATTCATGGGATGCAATTTGAATTACACTGTTGACATGAGTAAAGGGGAAGAGGGACAAAGGTTTTTTTAAAACGTAGTTAAGGATGAAATCAAAATAATAAATGTTGGTATAGTGTGTTTTCAGACTCAACTGCTGACCAAGATTTCCTCCAGAGGAGAGCACTAAGAAATTGTGACTTTATAAGATTGGGTGACGGTTGTGCACTTGGAGGAACCCTTGGGTTATTCGCAGTATGCAGTCTAATACAAGTACTTGAATTTTGTATCCTATTCACCTGTATAAATAATAGGGATCCATCCAAAATATCTATAGTGATGATGGAATGTAGAAGCTTCATGGAAAAGATGAGGAAAGAGCATTTTGGATAAGTATGGAAAATAAAGGTGCAAGGGTTTTTTTTTAAGTTCAGTCATGCAAATGTTGGGGACGTGTGGTTAGACTCAAATATTCAGAATTTCTGTTCTTCACTCAGAGAGCAGGGGAAGGCGGCCACTACCGAACCCAGAACGTTTTGATGACTTTGCTGTAGTACAGAATTCATGTGGGAGAAGACATAAGAAACAGAAATTCTT